CTTCCTGTGGTAAGGCAAGAAGGTTTAGTTACCAGGATCTAATCTGGCTCAAAAGAAATGTCAAGTTCAGGGAAGCATATTAAGGGAGGGGGTCTAGATGTGGATGTGCTGCACAGCAGTTCTTGGTAGTTTTACTTGATATCAAGGGTTAAGACAGAGAATAAGATAATTTGTAGAGGAATTGTGACACTCAGCCATTCTAAGCTTTGAAGTGACACAGCTTTTAACATTCAATATTTCAAATTCTGACAAAACCAAACATTAGATCTTACATATGTAACTAGAAGAGGGGTAATTATTGTCTCTAAGTAGTTAAAACATCTCTTTATATATACTGTATATATTACTGTTTATGTTAGGCATAAGATATACAAAAATTTATTAAGGCCTGTGTCTGAATGTTGTGCATTCTGAAAATTCAAGAACAATTTTGAAGTGACAATTAGAAAAAAATCACATTTCATTTCAAGGACACAGATTAAATAGATAATAATAGGTAAAAGGCAGGTTTAAGATCGTCAAGGATGTCAAATGCATTTATCAAATGACTATGCTTATAATGGCTCACAACTTCCACTTATATATAGTTGTCATAGATGTGTGTAGGTGCCTAAGTGTACCTATTAGTTGTAAACACTGGAATATGATCTGTTCCTGTTTTACACTGCTTTCCTATATGCATATCAGAATGAGATAATCTTATAAAGAAAATATTAAATTGGAGACATTGAAGTAGTAAACGATTTAACTCCTTGAGAGACAGAAGATGAAAATATTTGTCTTTTAGAATCTGAAGAGAGGATAGACATACAGTTGAACATTTGAAAATATTTCCAGGAATTAAAGTACAGAAGATTGATGTTTTTGTTTTTCTGTTTTCCCTTTCAGATAGTCACATCCTTATTTTAATTAACTTGCTCATATAAATACAGCAGGATTGATGTATTTTTTTAAATAAGTCTTTACTGAATATGTCAACAAGATAATATATAGTGTATAGTGAGGTTTTGAAGTTAACAATGCGTGCAACATGGCAGATTGCAGAAAACAGATAATGCAGACTTCAAACCATCTATTTTTCCATGTTAAATATAGAAAATATACCAAACACAGAACAGAATCAAGTGTGCATGTCTCAGTTAAAATCAATTTTATGAAAGACCATCTTCAGATATTTGGGACCAAGTGATGATAACCATTTGTTTAGTAGCTTATCTGTTTCTGAGAGGATCAGAATTCAGCTCTCATGAGGTACATTTCCACAGAGCCCCAGCATAATAAAAGCTTGCCAAATCTCTTTTTGTACTAGTTTTCCAGATAGACTACTAGCCATCATCCTTTTAAAGAGCAAGACATTCTCTGCTGTACAAAAGTTTAATGCCAAATGCTTTGATATTGCCTGTAGTATCATCTGGGATACAAAGTGCCCTGTTCAGTAGAGTTCAGGGAAGGAGTGATCATCAGCTTCCTAGGATTATCTCTGTGTTTAGAAGAGAACATCAGGCATTTGATGAGGCTCAGAGCCAGTAACTTTTGGTTTTGGCACTCTTTTCTGTTTTGTTTTTCCACTCAGCTGGAAAGATAAGTCATGAGTAAAACCACTATTCTCATGTTCTGAAGAAAAAACTTTAATATCTCCATGTTAAATTTAAAGTGAAGAAGTACTATAAATGGAGAATTCAATGGGAATTAACCACTTCACTGTCAAAAGCTGAAACTGAACTTTCACTTCAATGTCATTAATAAAGTGCCTTATGTAGACCCTTAAAACCATAACAATACCATATGCATAAAGTTATTTTGCTTGCAAAATTAAAATAGATACATTTCTCAGAGGGAGAAATTTTCTCTCATGAAAAGAGAAAATGATTGAGAGAAAAATATAGTTGAACTACTCTAGTAGCAAATAGTGCATGCTACTTCATTTTTCTGTTTTATGTGACATTCATTGTAGTCCTTTATTGGCTTACAGGGAAACCTGCTAATATCTCTTCAGTCCAAAGTAACTCAATCCCTAAATATTCTTATCAATAAATTCAATAATAATGTCTCCAATAAGAACCTGTTAAAACAAAGTCCATGTATTCATCAGGTGTTTGTTTCTGCCAGGAAGTTACATGTAAGGAACACTTGTTATAGTGACAGAATTTGTGAAAACAAGGACACGTTTGTAAATAAATAAGTCTTCGGAAGGAACCCAAGCATTGGACACAGCAATGTTGTGAAGCAGTGTTGTGATACTACTTTAACATAATTTCACTTAAACTCTTATTTTATTTCACTCACCAATCTTTTCTGTACATTTGTCAGCTACTGGCATTACACAATGGTAATTGGTGAGATTTTGTCTGTAAACCACTCATTTGCCCCCAGATTCAATGAACCTGTTCAAATCAGGACCTGGAAATTAACATATTGGATGGGTCATATATGCACACATTTGGAACTTCTGCTCTATAGCTTTTAGTTAGTTTCTGTCATCAGATATTTGCACTGAGTGAAGATGACCCCATTTTTACGAAGCCCAAGGAAAAAGCTACTAATCTTAAAACTTTACATTGTCAAAAGATCATTGTCCGTTTTTAATTCTGACTTTTTCCAAATACTTTACCTAGTGAAAACTGCCCATTATCTACTTATCTAGACGTGACCTGAAATGAAGTCTCAGCTGTTTGTGTGACTGGCACATTGAAAAGCCCAAACTCTGTTGTACATTGAAATACATTAATGCTTTCACAGCTGGGTAGCAATTAGAATTGGGAAAAAAATTCTTCAAATGAAACATATGACCTTTCAGTTGACTACAGCTGTGAATCTTTTTAGATAATACTCCCAGCTCTATCCACAAATTTTGGTACAAGTGGCTTGCTACTTTTTTTCAGAAGAGTATTTATAGAAAAGAAACTTTGTCAGTATCCCATACCAATATATATATTCTTTATACTGAAAAGAAACATAAACTATGCTATCTTTAATATCATTTTGATTTTTGATATAGGTGAGTAATAGTCCACAGATAGATATATATACATTTCATCATCCGAGATCAAAACGAACAGTTTGTGAATGTCTTCTGTTTACACCCTATTAGGACAGTAACCACATTTGTTGTCATCAGTTTGGGCTTGTGGATCATTCACCTGCAGTACGGTTCAACTCCCTGAATAAGTCATTTGCTACAAATAAGGTGCCTAGCTCATCTTGAAATTATGGTACCCTGAGGCCTAAACCAGAAGATATTCATCAAGGAGGACAAAGATTCCTCCCGCACCAGTCACTGAAATACAAAATTCTAGTAAGTGTGCTTTCAAAGGATGCTTTTTGAAATCAAACATACAGCCAGTTATTTCAGTGAAATTAAATACTACGTCCACACCCAATGGGAATCTCTGTCTCTACTTAGTTTCAAACTCCAGCATGCAATGGAAGCATGCAGAAGCACAACTATTTGCTGCTTGTCCTGTGGGCTTTGGCATCTAAAACATATTAAACAAACAAAAGCATCAACCTTCTCATCATAATCTTCAGTAAATAGGTCACAGAAAAAATCATTTTGCATAGATTTTCTACCTAGAATTACGCCATTTTAAATCATATGGCAGCCTTCTATTCAGCAAAATTTCAGTGATTTTATTATTACAGTAGCCAGACAGGTTGCCTAGAATACCTGTTATAGCTGGAGAAAATAGCAAATATACAGAATATAGAGTGGAATTTCAAAATGTGATTATAAAAGCCATTGGGGGCAGGATGTGATTCCTTATACAATGATTGTACTTTGCCATCAATCGTAACTGGATTTGTTTTGCCATTGCAGAAAATGAGTGTTATCATGCAATTTGAATTTCAGAAACTGCACACTCATAGACTGCTGGGTTTCAAGAAGGGGTTGAGTGAAATGAACAAAGGAAAGGATTAAAATCCTCTCTCCCAACATAAGCATTCCACATTGAAAGTGCTTCAGCCTTTACTTCCAATCCCCTTCTAACAACATATCCTTGTTGTTAGAAAAGGAAAAGTTTTGTCTCTCTCTTTTTTTTTCTCTTTGTTGTGAACTTTTGCTTGTCCCCAAGCTCAGGAGAAAGTGAGCTGCATTTAAAAAAACCAAACTCAAAGAAAGGGAGAATTAGATTCCACCACTGAGGTGGCAAGAAATCCAGACTTCTTGGCAGTCAGCAAGTCAATGGAGTGGCTGAAACATTATGTAATTTTGAGAGCAGCATCATGATTTTAATACAAGCATGATGTTTTGCATAGTGCATGTAAAGCTGAAGGATTCATAAGGTATTCCAGCTAAAGAATTTGAGGGAATAAAAAAGCAAATTCCAAGCCCATCTACTGCTTATAAAGCACAGATCAGTGTGGAAAAATGACAGAAGCTTAAGATAAAAGAAAAGTAATTCAGAGGGACAGTGTACACTTGTGTTCTCAAAATTCCTTAACTAATCAAATGCTTAGTTAATGTCCATCTCTGCATATTTGAATGGGTAGAAAAATAGCCCAATCAGGATTTACACACAATTTTCCCTGTTGAACATATTTCAATTCATAATAGGCCTGGAGGCCTTTCCAATAATAAATAATTTTTTAAAAATATCTTTCTTATTTAATTTCTTTGTTTGTTTGTCGTTTTTTTCCTACTTCTCCATACTGAACATACCTCAGACCCTGAATCAAACTGGGCTTGAATCATAAAGGTCAATAGCAACCTTTCCATTAGCATTATATTTTGCATGATGTTTTCAGCAATTTACAATTTTAGATTCCAAATTCTACATGAATACTGCAGAGCTGGGAGCACTCAGAATTTCACTCATTCAGGCTTTACCTGAACATGCTGTGTCAACAAATGCTGCTTTATTAAAGAGAGGTGCAACTTAATGACAGCTATCTGTTACATACTGATAACCTTCATCTCCCACTGAGAAGGGTCAGAGAATGCCTAAAGGTTCTTAATCAGAATGAAAAGAGAAACAATAAAAGTGTATAGTATTGGGGTACATTTTCAGAGTAGCTTTTGCAAACAGGAATCAAGGTCACTTTGAGTTTGACACTGAGCTCTGTCTACCTTTCCTATTCCAAGTATATTGGGAGAAAACTAATCAAACCAGAAAGTAGCCTTTTTGGTAGCACTCAGAACTCCAGCTTCCAGTTGGAGGTAGGAAATGCAGAACTGATAAAGGGGAATGGCAGTATTTCCAGTTGTTTGAAGCTCAACAGCAACTGCTAGGTTCAAGTCAGAAGGGTTGTACCCACTTCATCCAAATCGTTTTTAACCATTCCTAGTGACCCTGTTTTAATATGCACTTATTCTCCTGTACTACAGGACACCTAGAAATTTAACATCCCTCAGATAGCTTCGACAGCAAAGTGGTTAATATTTAAAGAATGAGTCATTCTTTCCTTTGCCATGACATTGGGTTCTTATTGTACAACCCCATACAGTACTTAGCAATATTTTTAAAGATTTAAAAAGCAAAGAGTTACAAAACCATTTGCAATTAACTTGAAATAGAAAAGATAGCACTTCTTTTAAATCCCATTATATAGTACACCGTATAAATTACAGAGTATTCAAATGCATAAATGCATCTTTGTAACATTTATCAAATGTAATTTTTTCATTGCTGTTCGGGGGTTATTTTTTCCAGAGTTTTTTCTCTTTGTCTTAGGCACCCCCATCTCCCCTCACTATCATGTATGACAGTGCTCCAGGTCTGAGACATTGCTGTTGCAGTATCGGATGTTGTTGGGGATGTGGCAGTCTGTGTAGTTAATGCCCCCGTTTGGGGTATAAATGGGCTGCAGTCTGTAATCTCCTTTAAGGAGCTGATCATTATTTAAGGAGACAATCTGGAAGCTGGTTTCCGTCATCTCCAGGATGGAGTTATCCTTCTTGGTCCCTGCCTCGCAGTAGTCATCTTTCCGACGGCCCCGGTTATATTTCCACTTCTGGGAGGTGTAACGCCCTTTTTTGTGCATGTGCCAGCAAAAAATGCTGAGCAGGACCACAAGGACAAATACCACGGCACCCCCAATCAACCCTGCCAGCAGAAATGGTGAGCCCAGGTTCTGAGAATTCGTCTGCTCATGGCTGGAGGGGATGTTGCTGCCATTGCTCAAAAAGGAAGCCTTGGTTGTGGCTTCTGAACAGACAGTGTCTTCTCCAGTTCGGTAATTGTTATAAGTATCCAGTGGAACCAAACAAATTCGATAGGTGGATTTGGGCTCCAGATTTACCAAGCTTAAGTGTTGCCTCTCACCACTAACTATTCGTTCCTGAACAATTCCTCCTACCAGACTATGGCCCATTTTAACCCATGTGAGTTTATATGCCATCACGGTAAAAAGAGACATCCAGTTAACTTGGATGCAAGTGTCATTCACAAAATGGATGGAGAGCTGAATCCGTTCAGACATAGGAGATGTCACCCTTTCTCCGTCCTCCTTGTCAGGCACAGTGGGGAGGGTGGCTATGGTGGGAGTGAGAGGGTTATGTTTGCTGCCTGGGGGAGGAACTGATGAGGTGGGAACTACTGTAGTTGGCATGGCTGTAGCTGGGACTGGGGTGATGATAAGTGGCAGACCAGGGGTAGTGGTGGGGCATGACAACATATTCATATTAAGCTCCCTGACTGCCATACCTCGGACCTGCTCTGGTCCCTGGCACATAAAACCCCTTACATTGATGGAAGTGGGAATAAATTTGAGCCATTCAGTGACCCACTTAATACTGCAGTCACACAACCAAGGATTATTCCTTACAGTGAGTTGCCTCAGGTTGTGGAGGTTATCAAATACACCTTTTACCAACATCCGAAGTTGATTGTTGGAAATATCAAGACGTTCCAGCTTGTGGAGGTTTGAAAAGGCTGTAAGTGGTATATGGGTTATCTGGTTGTCCTGTAAGTAGAGCCTTAGCAGATGTGTACCTGGAAGATCAGGAGGAGGGTAGGTCAGTGAATTCCGCACTATTGAGAATTCCTTGAGCTTGGAGAGGTGGCTGAAGGTGCCTTCAGCGATGCCTTTATTAGTAAGGAGGTTGCCATCCACAATCAGACGCTCCAGACTTGTGAGATTCTGGAAGGCCAGGTCTGAAATGACAGCAATTCGGTTTTCGTCTACTCGAAGTTCTTGTAAGTCCACCGGAAGGCCTACTGGTACACTGCTTAAGTGATTCTTGGACAAGAACAGAAGCTTGAGGCTGATGGCTTCCCGGAATGCCCCATCCTCAACGCCAACAGTGGAGATGGAGTTGTCATCCAGGTGCAGCTCTTCCAGCTTCAAAAGCTGAGCAAGGGCAGCCCGAGAAATGGTCTGAATGTTGTTTTCCTGCAAGTGGAGAACCCTGACGTTCTTGGGCAGGTTCATGGGAAATTCGTCCAATTGGTTGCCATACAGGTAGACTGTGTGTACAGACTGGACATTGTGCAACTCTGCAGGAAAACCAGCATTATTAATTTGGTTATTATGGAGGTAGAGGACGGTTACACCCTCCGGTATCCCAAGAGGCACTGAGGTCAAGCTTCGCTCGTTACAGTAGACAAAGTTTCGATCACAGCGGCACACTTTTGGGCAGGACAAAGTTTTGGAGACCTGCATGTAGAGCCCCAGGGAAAAGATGAGCCATGATTTCATGACAATAGCCCAATCTGTGGGCCACCTTCTAGTCCACAAACCCATTTCTAATTTAAAGAAATAAAGTACCAAAATGTTAAAGAACTGATAACAATAATAAAGCACAGGTAGCAAGATCTCAGGTCACTAAAATTGCCTTCTATTTATGTCCAGTGTTCAGGCCAGAGTTAAAGTTCTGGAGGCTAAGTATAAAATAATCCTTTTATAATTGGCCTACCTCCTACTTTTGATAAGAAAGCCACAGTCTTATTAGCCAGGGTTACAAAGTTTGTTGCCTTCCTCCATGTGTGCTGAAAGAAACAATAGCTGTGTCTTTGCAGGTGAGCAACATGTTAATTTAAAGCTACCAAATGTTGTCTGTGCATGAGTTGCTTGGAGGGATAATATCTCCTTTCACTGAAGTCTGTTGGTGTTACACTCAGCTTTCTGAAGTCAGCAAAGTTCTCATATCAGCTATCTGCCAGATCTGGCCTGCCTGTAAAAGAAAAGAGAAAAGAAAAAGCTGAATAGCATGAAATGTTTAATAGGGACGATCAAGCCCATTGGAAGACTATTCTAAGGCTGTGCTCTTTATGGCTTTCTGGAAAAAAAGGCATTAATATTAAACATTAGCTTAATATTACTGTTAAATAGTCTTGAAATAGATTTGATGCAAAGTCACTGCAGTGATTGAAGGACTTTCAGTGACTTCAGTGAAGGCTAGATCTATCACTTGTGTTTGCATATTGTACCTTCAGTCTCTCTCCTCTCACAGCCAGTTTCAAATCTTAAAACTAAAACATTTTACAAACTTAAAATTAAACCATTTAACTGGAAATTTTTGCTCAGGTATTTTTTTTCTTTTGCAGAACCACTGACTTCAATGAATGCTATTCACTGATGCCTGACAGAGTAAACTCCAGGCCATACTGTTTAATAACACTCTATGTTTTTTTCATTTCCTACCAGACTCTGGAATGTTCTGCTTCTATTTCTGTAATGCCATTATGTATATTCTCCAACTTAGTGCACAATGCCAGATTATTACATCTCACTACAGTGAATTAGCTACTTATGAGGAGAGACTTTTAAATAAGTATAGTAAGCCACAAATACAAGATACCCTGCTGTAAGGCATGTATTTACTAAAACTATCATCTTGATATTGTTTCTGATGTGAACTGTGCTGTCAACAGACTTCAGAATTAGCTTTCCACTAAATGAAACAGGCCCACATCTGCTAAGTTATTTTTTTAGGATATCACCTCAAACTACAGTAGTTTTGCAGGAGAGCACTTTCTTTGAAACCATAAAGGTTAGATACTTCTTTTAATTCTGCTACACAGTTGTCTGTAAATGGCTACATAAACAAATTTGTTAGCTTCAGTATAGATGAGTTCTTTAATGTATATTTTCAGGTTTTAAGTGTTCTTTTTAACTTTTGCATGCCCAGCTACAATTTATTATTCAGATCTATAATCAAACAATTCAACTCTCTAAAGCATGCAATGAAACATACTGTATTGTATGATGTTATCTTGTCTTGTTATATGTTGTTTCCGATGACTGAAAAAAAATGCTACATTTTACGGACTTGAACCTAATAAAGGATATAAACCTTGACAAGTACCAAGCATGTGTAGATCTCAGGGTCTCGAACTGCAGTTACATAAGCACTGTATTTTTCAAGATTTTGTTTACCCAGATCAAAACTCATGGGCTGGGATTTCAGGAAAATAGAATTTTGGTGAATACAAATCATGTTTAAAAATATTTTTTCCTTTGTTTAAGCAGCTTAAGCAGCATTCAGGTAATTCAGAAAGAAATGTAATTCAGGAGTACATGAAAGCATGTTCTTCTGCTACAGCTATGCAGTTTATAACACATTCCAAAGGCTGCTTTTGGGAGCCCCATGGACTGACAGTGCAGAAAGTCTATTTAGGAGTCGAACAGTTATAACCCTGCAACCTTGCACTTGTAGATGACTATATTTATCTGAAGCTTCATCAGGTATTAGCCTCAAGGCTAGAACAGTTGGAGATAAAAAGTGAGACCCTGAAAAGTCCTGCAGCTTATCATTATAAATTCAAATTGTAAATGTATATATACTGTAATGCAGCCTATACTGTGTGTTGTCCTTTGCTAGAAACAGTAAGATTAGCTACCCCACTGTTCAAAGTTTTCTCTCTCACAGGTATATTTCAGTCAAGAGTGGGTTTTTTTCAATTATGCAAGATGACGTGATACTGTAGAGAAACTCTAACAGGATTACATTCTAACATGAGCCTAAGTGTGGAGATTTATCTGCCTTTAATATGGGCTGGCTCCCATCTAGATCATACTGCTCTGATCCATCATGACACTGTCTTTTTAAAGTAAGAAAGGACGCGTAGAGCCTCCTCTGAGATCCTTGAGACCACAGAGTAGTAATAGTGGTTCTCTCACTCCATTTCCATCATCGGAGAGAGACAGTCTGTACCTCCCAACAGGACCAATACCCTGCACTGAGCTCCCTTTAGATTGTTAGTCTGATTGCTGATTAGGTTTTATTTGATGCTTGGGTGTGATAGAAAGCCCAGCTGAGGACATGCAGCCACAGGCAGCTGCAGCTAGTGGTTTGTTGGGAATCTGCTAAGAAAGGAATGTCATATTAAAACTGATTTATGCATTCACCTTATTCTAGGACTCTGCACTGAGTACCTCTCACCTTTGTAAATGTGGCACCTGAATAAAAGATCTCGGTAATGATTCTAGCAAATCAGGTCAAACACACATGAGATATTACAAGTAAAAGAGCTTTGACTGGACAGTCACTTAAGCATATCAGCACTTTGGAAGCTGGCACTCTGGAGTTTATCTCCTTTTTATTGTTACATGGATTTTGCCCTTAGAAATCTGTTAAAACTTTCCTACTGTTTTCTCTTCTTATGATGGTGAGAAAGGGACTCCTTTTATTAATGTTAGTATCCTGATCTCCAGCTATTAGTCCTTAGTAAACCGATACTATAAAACTCAGTACAGAAAATATGCATTGGTAACTACTGTTGATTGTATTAAGCAAGAGCACAGGGACAAATGTAATTAGATATTTATGACTTCAGGGTTGACTGTGGTGTGACAGAGGGAAGGAATAAGGAAACAAGGATACAACTGAATGTGTTGAAATACAGTTTTTGGGAAAAGTTTTAACTTAGTAGTCTTTTACAACTGTTTAATAATAACTCATAGTAGTGGTCATAGTTGCAGTATTTTTCAGCAAGAAATCTCTACCCCAAAGACATTAAAAAGATAGAAGGGTTGAACAATCTGCTTGATTTAAAAAAAGAAACTCTGTGAAGGGAAAGCATCCTCTGCCGATTACAGAAGGCTGGAAAAGCTGAAACAGTTTTTTCTTTAGCAAATTGCCAAAACTGAAGGCAAGTAGAGTAATTGAGCTTTCTCCCCATTCCTGCCATGTTGACTTCCTAAAGCAAGTTCTCTGTTTTCAATATTCTTACAAGAACTGAACTGAGTCTCTTTGCAAATGAACTGATTATTTGCAGAAGTACAATTTTGAAGTGGAGGAATTAAGGGCACTTTTTAGTTTTCATGACTGTAAATCTTGGGAATTGACTCATAGACTATAGATGGCAGTGACTTTGCTTATTGTGATACCAGAAAGTTCCAAAATCCAATCTAGGAAGAGAGGATGAAGGTAAGGGAATCTGTTGCAACTAACTTAAAATTAAAGAAATCAACAAATAAATGCCTCAGTAATAATACATCTCTCCATCATCACCTTGGTCATTTTTGCTTCTATTTCCTTACCCTGTACACTTGATTTCTATTATTTCTCATTATATCCTCCTCGGAGCACAAGCCGTGTCTTCCAAGTGTCTAGGACATTTCCTGTCTTACTGCAGCCAGGATATTAAATCCCATCAGGATTTGAAGAATGACATAATAAAGTTGAGAAAAGCATATTGAAATAGATGAGAATATATGCACATGTTTTAGGTGGCCACGTCTGAAAATTTGGCTTAGTGGCCTGAGTTGCTGACATCAATGGAAATGTTCCCTTTCATATCTTAAGAGGAGTTTCTGATCAACATTTTTATCTCACTGTCTTTTTTCAAATCTGCCTTATTTAAATTCCCTTTTGGCATAACTAATGGTAGCTGAAGAAGAACAGTTCTGACTTTGTGTACTGGATAATAATTTCAAATTTTCTTTTGTTCAACACTGGAATTGAACAGCTCCCTTAAGATATTTTGACTAAAGGTATTTAAAGGCTGAAACATCTGGTTGCAAGTTGGGAAGGTGAAGGTTTTATTAGTTTCCCCTTCACTGGTCAGAATCGTCCACACAACTTCAAGTTTTAGTCACCCTGCTGTGCATAGCCATGAAATAATTTAGCTTCAATAAACAAACATGTTTCAATAATTAATACATTACTAAAAATGCTACTCAATCATAAATTTATGGTATCTAGGGAAAAAAACCCAACAACCCACCAGCAGCCTGCTTATGGAAATTTTTCCTAACTACTGACCGGTATTTCCTCAGTGGTTGTGTCTATGGTATCTAAAGAAACTCCAAAGCTGCCCTCAGGGCCATCCTTCTCAAGTTTCATGCTGCAGTCTTCCAAACATGCAGTCCCAGGCATAGCAGTCAAGGTCTCCGTGGCTGTCTGAGAACCTATTAATGTTCAGGGGAGATAACTGAGAATACAGGGAGGAGATAGCATATGGAGCACAGCCTGCGTATGATTACTTACAGCCCTATGTTATAAGCACAGGAGTTTTGTTGTGCTCCTGAAGCCAAGTTGTCTGTCTTCATTAGTCTTCCCATGTTTTATATTAAGGCTATTAATTTTTTAGAGGGAATAAAATTAACAACACTTGGCTATTCTTTCCTTCAAGGAATCCTGAAAATAATAAAAAATAGGTCCCAGGAAACCATGTTTTTTTTCTCTGATATTCTAACCACTCAGTGCCATTTTTCCTAGCAGGTCATCCATTTATTTGAACCTGAGTGCCATGCAACAAAAATTCAAAGGCAAGCAAAACCAAACCCAAATGGTCATACCTACTCTTTTCACTATTACCAGTCAGTGACTCTCATTTAGCACAAAACCATTTGGCATAAATTTTTTTGGCTTTACTGCAGACCAAGGTCATAATCAAGTCATAATCTTACTCTATGTAATTATAATATGCAGTAAGTACAAGGCTATTATGTCTGGAATTGAAGAACACCCAGAAAACGAATCTAATTCCATTCCTCTGAAAGCTAGTTCTTAGTGCTTAAGAAAAATGCCCCAGTATTTCTATCATCTGGTAACGAAAATAATTGTGTAATAATACCTGACAAATCCCTTTTTTCCACATAAGTAGAGTTCACATTTACACATGAATGAACATCCTGCTTGTTTTTTAACTGATTAGGAGGCTTAGGTGATGGTTTACTGCATACATTTCTCTATGGGTTACTTGGGTTTGAATTTTGTGTTCA